CCTGCTCTCTCTCTTCCCGCCGGCATGTGGGGGAAGCTCCAGGCCTCCAGAGAACTCCCCACCACTAACAAGCTAAATTAAACCCGTGAAAGACAAACAAGGCAACAAAGAAACACAGTTACTCACACACACAAGCTTCTCTTTAACCCACCTTAGTTCATCCCAAGGCTAATTAAAAGCGATTCGTAATTACTTAAGTCACTGATTTGGCTGCGTAATTAGATGCTCTTTCTTCCAATTGCTCCTGTTGCACCAGGTATTCTCCTAATGTTTGATATATTGGTGGCTTGTGTTGTGCAGGTTTGATTATTTTAGGTTGATCTGATTAATACGTGACTTTGACAGTCGTAACCGTTTCCTTTCTGCCTCAATCATACATCGCTCTTCCTTTTTTATCATTCCCTCACTCTTTTCCTCTCCTCTTGTTATCCAATTCCATCAGACTCGCGGAGGGTAAACCAATTTACATTCTTGTTTTGGTCTTCAGATCCTTGCCAGTTTCCATGACAACACTGCTTTCGCACTCTTTCCACCCCTTTCTCCTCCTCAGGATCTTTCATTCCCCACTGTTTCGCTCTCCTCCTTTACTCTTGACCTTCCTCTTCTGTCTCATTTTCATTCTCTTTATATTCTGTTTGGTTCTTGCGTCTAACTCTCATTTCCTTGCCTAATTGATGCGGTTGCTGTCGTGGCACGCAGCGGCTGATGGTAACAGTGTAGAAGGGAGATGGGCAGGAGGGAGATGCATCCCAAACGTCTGTATTAACACACATCACGCTCTCTGTGTGTTAAATGATCAGTGCCGGGAGGGAATGATTTGGGCGTCTCTCTGTCTCTGTTTCAAAAGGCTGTCTGGTCTCTGATGCTTTTATTTGCTGCTGTTTGCAGACCGAGGATCATTTTATACGGGCGATATAATTAAATAACTGTGTGAATGACATTAATCATCACATTCATTGGGTACGGGTGTATAAACTACTCATTATTCAGGATTAAAAAGATGTTCTGTTACTGTTCCAGAGACCTTGTGAAGTCATTTTAAAATGAACCTCTTCCACTTCCAAACATTTTAATGTGCTTCCATGCATTTTCCAGAAATGTGACCATGTTTATCTAACATCATTACTTGGCTCTCTTGGAACACTTGATTCTGATTGGCCAATCATGCATTCTGTGGTCAAATATTTGTGTGTAATGGCTGCTAAACTATTTAATTGACCGTTGTCCCAAGCAACCAATTTCCTACACAGCTAGTTTCATGTCTCTGGTAACACACTGTGGTCTCATTCTTCTCACATATTAAAATTATTTTCAATTAAATCAATATTTCATGTCAGTTTCTGTGTTTATTTGATAAGCAGCCATGCAATAGCAAAATGATGTCCATTCAGTTGGTCATTATTGGAAAATAAACCTCTTAAAGATGACACACAACCACTCTGTTGGTGTTTAATATATGATAATGTCCGGCTGACTGTACATTATTCCTTACTACGTTGTTTCTGTTTAGGGTCAGTTAACCTCAGCAACACATTAGTTGCATCCCAATTCACATGCACTATTCTGTTTTATAGTTGAAATAGTGTGAGTAGTGCATTCACACTGAACATTTCAACAACAAGAAGTGCACTTCAAATGCTGGGATGATGCACTTATTTAACAAAAAAAAAATATGTGGAATGCACTTCATGCACTCAACCGTCACAGCTTTCCTTCTAAACCTTCTAATATTCATTCACTAGATGGTTGAGTAGCCTACATCATAGTGAATAATGTACAGTATGCAATTTGGGGCACAACTACTGCCTTACAATTTTCCTCACCTTAATACCATTCCAAACCTGCACAGAAAAACCAACTGACTTTTATTGTATGCACACACAAAAAAAAGTTGTAATTGTATTGTATGCACAAGATAGAAGGTCATTCAAGTTTGGGACAATATGAGGGTGCGTAAATTTTCATTTGATCATTTAACTATTATAAAGTAAAAAAAACCTATTATAAATTATATTTTATAAAGCGAACAAAAAAATAAAAATTCTGTCGTCATTTACTCAACCTCATGTCATTCAAAACCTGAAATGACTTTCTTTCTTGCGTGGAACATAAGAGAGAGAGACAAAAATTGAAGAATGTTGGTAAACATTATTGAATTCAACAGTTGGCAACCAACCATTGAATTCCAATGTATTTTTCCCATTGACTTGCATATAATTAAAGTCAATGGGAAAAATACTATAGAATTCAAAGGGAACCAATATTGTTTGGTGACTTGAATACCAACATTTTTCAAAATATCTACTTTTATGTTCCACAAAAAAAAAGAAAGTCATACAGGTTTGCATAAAATTGAGTAAATGATGACAGAATTTTCATTTTTGAGTGGACTAGCACTTTAAAGTGTGTTTTCAAGCAAGCAGAATGGCCTTAGGGTCTATTGGATGCCAAACTGAGCATGAGGGTTAAATCCAACGATTTTTACACAAGTTTGTATCTCTACAAAGATTCTTACTGTCTTTTTTTAGTATATTTCATTCATCTCTCTCTCTTTCCCACTTTCTCCTCAAGGCTTGGCACTTGAGAGTGTAATACAACACCAGTTTTGGGAGACAAAGAGACATTTCAACAACAAGAAGTGCACTTCAAATGCTGGGATGATGCACTTATTTAACAACAACAAAAAAAAAAAGTGGAATGCATTTCATGCACTCAACCGTCACAGCTTTCCTTCTAAACCTTCTAATATTCATTCACTAGAAGGTTGAATAGCCTACATCATAGTGCATAATGTACAGTATGCAATTTGGGGCACAACTACTGCCTTACAATTTTCCTCACCTTAATACCATTCCAAACCTGCACAGAAAAACCAACTGACTTTTATTGTATGCACAAAAAAAAAAAAGTTGTAATTGTATTGT